GAATGGGCCAAATCTCACCTGGAGACGGAGAGTGACACGATGAGTCGCTATCCACATTTGTTTGCTGGTGTGTGATTCCGGGGACGGAATCATTCTAAGGTGGAGAGAATTGTAACGCCCGTGTTTCTAGGCTTGCCATTTTTAGCAATGTAATAGTCTAGGTTAACCTTGTAACTCAACTTGAAATAATGAGAATGTATTATTTGTGAATTATTTGAATTATGTGATTTATGTGTGTATTTTCTTAATTTTTATAATTTAATAAATTAAGAATAAAATAAGCGTCAAAATTTAAGTGTGAGATAAGCCCGACATCTTTGCATAAAGTTGTAGTGGTCGAAACAAGGATTCCGGAGATATAAGGAATGCCAAAATCCGAGTTATAACGAAGAAGTTATGACCTGTCGAAGTTTCGCGACAGAACCGACACGACGCCGAATGACGTAAAATATGAATTTAAGATAGAGCGATATTTAGCCTTAGCAATCTAAATGAAAGTCGTAGATTTCGTTAAACCGAGAGCGTGCATAAAAGGAACGCCCAAATCTGACTTCGTATGAGGAAGTTATGATTTTATGAAGTTTCGACTTAGCAGTATACAGCCCGAATACTCGATTTGAGATCGAGCGGTTTTTAGCCGAAACAATCTAAATGAGAATCGAAGATCTTGTTGTTAGTAGCGAAACGATGAAAAGTTAGGCGAGAACGGACGTCAGACGAAGAAGTTATGAATTTATAACGAAGTTTTTCTGTCCCGGCCTTCTAAAAATAAATAATAAAAATAAAAGTCAAAATTAGCCGACAGAGTCTAAATGAAAGTTGTAGAGTATGGTCTGACCTTCGCGTGGATATAAAGAACGTCGAAAACGGAGCTCGTATGCGAAAGTTACGCAATTTAGAAGTTTGACAAGTCAATTACGCCCCGCGTAATTTGAGTACGCCCCGCGTACTCAGTCGGATGCAACTTGTCTGACCAATACTCGAGTGCCACCAGTCGACGCACGCAGTGACGTCAAAGTACGCCCCGCGTAATTTGAGTACGCCCCGCGTAATCCCAGACCCAGCAGCCTATAAATAGAACTCGAATTCAGCCATTTTCTCTTGTTCAAACTCTTCTCTCTCTCAAAGTTTTGCCTCGATTTGCGTGCCAATCATACCCCAAAGCCCCGGTAATATTCCCGAGCCCCGAAGTAAGATCCGAAGCCCCGAGGATCCCGAAGAGCGTTATTCCCAAGTCGAAATGCTGCCCGCGAGGAGCCCGGTTTTGTGAAGATCTTCCAGATCTACGGAGAAACACCTCTTCTACAAGCCGTAGTGCTACCCGATCATCTTCTGACCAGGTGAGTGTGTAGTTATTTTCTTTCCAACGCAATATTATGAAGTATTTCATATAAAATACGTGTTATGTGTATATATTTGGTTGTTATACGTGTGAATGTATATTCACTCTCTTCTATCTTATAGATCTGATGTATTCTCTATGAAATACGTGTTATGTGTGTATGCCTCATCTGTTATGTGGAATATGTGTTGATTAAAACATGTTATACAGGTTTTTAAACTATGTATAAAAATGTATATTTTTATCTACTAATATGTTGGGTAGAACATGGGTAGATAATTGGTGTGTAATAAACAGATGAGAGGCCTCGGTGTTATTGGTGTTATTCTAGTCATTCAGCAGAGTATGGATGACGACCACGGACTATTCTAGACTGTCCTGTGGAACACTAGCAGACTCATTACCTGTAGGTGTTGTGAACGACGTGTTCACCGGTGTACTCTATCCCCCACATGGTTGCCTTTAGGACACTTATTGTTGAGGAAGCCCCTCTGCAGTGATGTCCGTCCCGATGAAAAATCCTGAAATAGGTTCCTTATAATAGACGTTATTTTTAGGAACGTAAGGTGAGGATAACGGGAATGGGTAATCGGGTTTATTGTTGATTGTTGAAATTAAATATAATTATTGTGGGTTGAAAACCCTATATGCTCACCAGGCTCCCAAGCCTGACCCACTCAGTTGATTTATTTTACAGGAAGTGGCGCAAGAGCTTAAGATGGGCGAACATCAAGTTGTTTTTGTTTACAAGTCTGTATATGTATATATTTGTTGAACGACTTGTAATGTTATCGTTTATGCTTTATGACCTGTATCGGAACATGACATCCCGACTTTTGATTATGAAATGAAATCATATTTCTTTATGAAATGTTTTGATAAATATCTTTTATCATGTTTTGTTTTTGGGAACAAATTCCGCATCTCTTTTAAAATTAAAAGGATTTACTCTGAAAATTATTTTAAAAAGCATAAATGAAATCGGTCTTTTCTGGCCGAGATTTTGGGGATGTCACAGTTACCCTCGAGCAAATTGATTTCTTATTTTACCAACAAAGTACAAAACAATCCATTTCAAATCCAACCATTATCCAAAGACCTCAATGCATGTATTTGTGTCTATAATTACTAAGAGCTTCCCACTCCTAAATACTTACAATCCTTATGAACCTTCACCCCTAAGCTTATATAACACTCATTTTTGCAACCCTTCGAATCAATCTTTTGTTAACCTCAAGATATTTTTTGCTAAACAACCAAGCATACATAAATTCTAAAAATTACCACTTTGATACCACAATGGAGCTCTTGAATTCTTCTTTTTCTTTGTATATTTGATTTCTTTGAATTCAGCTACTTTTCTGTTTGTCTTTTGGTATCTTTTAATTTTTGGGTTTCTTCAGAAATTTGATCTTTTGGTCTTCACACTTTGATAGCTCCAAAAATCTTTCACTTTTTGGTAATTTTTCTCTCTCTCTTTTTTACATCTATATCTCACTTTTCTTTCACTCAAATCCTACATGCTTAAGCAAGGAGCTTAGCTTCAACCTTTATTGGTTAAGGTATTAATCTAAGTGCAATGACTACCTTAGCTTTCCTGGATAGATTTCAGGTTTAGGTTGCATAACGTATTACGCCATATAAGCTACCAGATTACCTTTCATACCACATGACTTTTCACTAGGAAATGGGAAGCCACAAATACATTGTAACATGTGTTAGCTCGGGTAAATATTTGGGCTCTCATTGGATCATCCCATACTATGCTAGCAAAGATTTTAATTGGCTAAGTTTCCTAAGTTAAACTATTATTTCAAGTTTATGTGAATGCAAATTCTGAAACTAGCAATGCAAAAATTTTAAAATCAAATGCCTTTTCTCATGAAAAATAATATACCCCTTACCCCACACTTATTTCATGTAATGTCCTCATTGCATACTATGCAAAACATATAAATTAAAAAGAAGGAGAAAAGGAACAAACTCCCCTAGGTGGAAGATGCATCTTGAACCGTGTGTAAATGTGTTGGCAAACTAGGTTGCGTGAAAGTGTTGAAACAGAATTGGAAGGTAGCATGGAATCCTCGTAATGTGATGAGAAACTCCCCCACGACATAAGAAAGTATCAACGATGTCCTGACAGCTGGGAAAATTCTTCAACATTGCGTGAAAATTAAATTCCAAGGTGTTGGAACAGCTCATCCAACCCATGAAATTGAATATAAAGTTAGAAACGCCACTCTCGAACACCTAGACTTCTGAAAGTACATGATCTGACTTGTAAAAAGGACTCGAGAGGCACCACCCCGTGGTGGATATCACCACATCATGGTGAATCAAACAGAATAAATTCAAGGTTTTCTAACTGTGACAACACGGCGTGGTGGGAATTACCACGTCGTGGTGGTCTTGAAATCACAAAATTGTGTGAACTCATGTGCTGATTCTCAAAATATAAGTGGCACCGAGTAACATATGAAGCTGTTGGACGTGACTCCTCAATCAATGACTCACATAAAAATCCAGAAAAATTGCTCAAATCTCACCTCTCTCATCGTCTCCTAAGCGCGCTCTATAAATAACCTTCTTTTGCCACTAATACCCTTATTTGAACTCTAAAATAATACCCTGAAACTAAAACAAGGAAAAGCAATAAAAGAAGTAAACATTCGTCAAACAACCAAAACCAAGAGGAAATAGGTGTCAACAACCAAACTACACAAGCTATAGACACAAAGATAAAAGACATAAAAACAAACAAAGTCTTGAATCCACTAAAATAAAAGGATAAAACTCTCAATCTTCGTGTTCTCCATCATCACCTTCTCCTCCACTACCACCCACTCCACATTTTTGCTTTCTCCATAATTCCTCCCAACTCGGTATATATAGATAAGCATGAGGAAAATGAGCAGGATGGGTCATATGCATTTGCTACATAAGGTGGTCTAGGCCCATGTTAGTATAGTTGACACCCCATGTGAAGTTATCATCAAACCTCCTCATAGCAATGTTATAAGGATCCGTGGGCATCTCATCATTGGTTGGGTAAAGTGGTGGCTCCTCTCCTTTAGGGTCATTTCCCCTTGGTCGTACCCGCCTCGGAACTCGGCCTCGTGAAGTGTCATCAGGAATACCAAAATTACCATATACATGATCAATAGCAATATTTGCCATCTTATAAAGAAGTGTAGAGTAGGGATTTTTTGGCTCCACAATCAACATCATGGCTTCGCGTTTTTCAAGTACGCCATATGAACACGCAATCAGGGTAATCAACATACCACCATATAATGGAGACCCTCGCCTATCTTTTCCTGCACGGACCGCAAGAAAATCCACCAATAGAAATGGTAGATCTACATGAGTATTGTCAGAAGTAAGATCCCATAAGAAAAATATGTCTATAGTTGGGCACTTATCCCCTTCTTGTTGTTGATTTATAGTGTCGGTGATTAGGCGGTGTAGCAATCGATGGATAGGATAGCGGATGTCACTCTCTTGCGCAGTTCCCTTATCATAAAATCCATTTGCAATTGCATTCCAATGCAATTCTACTTTAAACCCCTCTGTATTTCTCACACAATATGCAATTCTGCTTTAAACCCCTCTGTAAATCTCCATCCTTAGTGCAAAATCAGAAAGGCTAAGAGCACGCCTCTCGCCACCGAGGCATAAAGTGAGGTTGTTGTCAGCATAAATTCCATCCTTCCTTGCAAAAGACATTGTGGCTAGAAACTCGATGACTACTTCCTTGTACACGATCTCTTGAATATGGAATATCCACCTCCACCCCAGACAACGAAATTGCCCATGAATGTCATCAAATGTTTTATCAAGATATGGTATCATTGCTTCCAACAATCCGATTTTGCTCATCCATTGCCAATCTACCGGTGCAGGCACATGTACATTTTGTTGATTTAGACAATCAAGCTTAGCATTCCAACTTGTATAAACCTTGAGTCAAACATTTCATGAAAAAGTGTTCCACTGAAAGTCGGGGCGAATCTCGGGTTGGTTGCGTCTTGGTCGGCTGGCCATGTCTGCAAAATAAACACAAAGAACATACAAGGAACCTTGTGCATTATTAAAATCAAAATACAACAGAAAAGGCCTTAAAATACCCCACCACGACGAGTCGTTGTGGTTGACATACAATCTCTATTCTGTGGTTCAGTCGGTCGGTCCTTAATCCATACCATTTTAACTCAATACAACTTCAGGTTTGTTTTAGGCATAATACAAAGTAGAATGGTAACAAAATCAAGGGGAAAAAAACCTAATTTGGGTCTGATTTTGCAAAACTCGGAACCCTAAGTTCCTAATATTGGTCCTAAATGTGTTCTAATCAACAAATATATACCCTATACCAACATAAATAGCGATTGAGAGCAAAAAAAATCACATAAGAATCATAACTTTTGGTTGAAAACCGCAAGAAATCGAGTAAAATGCAAGGATGTTCTTCGTGGGAGATGGAACACGGAGAGGGAGAGGCGTAGTGGAAAGTAAAAATTGTTTTGACTGGGGTTTAAAAACCCTAATTTGACTGCAGTTATTTCGACACCACGGCGTGGTGAATTCACCACGTCGTGGTATTGCCTTGAAATGTTTTTTATCAGGTTCTCTACAATTACCACCTCATGGTGGCTTTCACCATGTTGTGGTGATATATTTTTTTAGAAAATGTCCAATTTAGTCAAAATTTTATATAAATCTACCATCCACACTCATTTTATTCCACCCCCATGTTGAATTCTATAGAAAATCAGAAGAATGAGAGAATAAAACATAAATAAAACAAAAACAAAACCAAAGAATAATAACAGAAAATAAAGAAAAAGGAAAGAAAAATGAAAACTCAAAATCACAGGTTGCCTGTCGTAAGCGCTTCTTTTTGGGGAGTCAGAAGCCGGACTCCTTCCTGCTTCAAGTTGTTTTAGCTCGTGTGAATTTGACAATTTCCCCTTCTTTTTCTTTAATAGGCATTCCTTCTTTATAATGTTTCACTCTATGTCCGTTAACTTTGAAAGGGATTTTGTCTCTTAATATAAGCTCAATAGCTCCATGTGGGAACACTTGTTTAACAACAAACGACCCATCCCACCTAGTTTGTAATTTTCCTGGGAAAAGCTTTAACTTTGAATTGAAGAGTAGCACCTTTTGTCCTTCATGAAAATCTTTATGACCTTTTAGTTTCATGTCATACCATTTCTTTGTCTTGTCCTTATATAATAATGAAATGGTGTATTCTTCATTTCTAAGTTCTTCAAGGGCATTCCTTTGCATCAATCGGTTGGAATGAAGTCCAGTTAGTTCAAAATTACAAATTTTCAAGGCCCAAAATGCTTTATGCTTGATTTAAACTGGGAAGTGGCAATTATTTCCATAGACCAACCTATATGGTGCAGTACTAATAGGTGTTTTAAAAGTCGTTTAAAATGCCCAAAGTGCATCATCAAGCTTATCCGACCACTCTTTTTTATTACTTCTAACTGATTACTCCAATATACGTTTTAATGCCCGGTTTGTAACTTAGGTTTGCCCACTTGTTTGTGGATGATATGATGTTGAAAATCTATGGTGTACACCATATTTTTGCAACAACTTAGCCAATTGCTCATTTGAAAAGTGAGTGACCTGATCACTAATAAGAGCTTTAAGAATTCCAAACCTCGAGAATAACTTTTTAAGAAAATGCACCACCACTCGAACATCATTAGTAGGTAGTGCTTGTGCTTCCGCCCATTTAGATACGTAGTCAACTGCCACCAAGATGTATATATTCCCTTTTAATATTGGGAATGGTCCCATAAAGTCAATCCCCGTATATCAAATATCTTACAAACTTTAATTCTATTTTCGGGCATCTTGTTTTGGGATGAAATATTCCCCGACCTTTGGCATGAATCGTATTCCTTGATGTATTAAGCGGCATATTTAAAGATTGTTGGCTAATAGAATCTTGTATCATAAATCTTCTTAGCCGTATACTGTGCTCCATGATGTCCTCCGGTGGGCCTGCTATGACAATGTTTCAAGATCTCTCAAATATCTTTCCTGAATACACATCTCCTTATCATACCATCCGCGCAACTTCGAAAGAAGTACAACTCATCCCAAAAGTAATACTTAATTTTAGAGAAGAATTTCTTCTTTTGTTGTCTTGTCAAATCTTTTGTAATATAGTCACTTGCTAAGTAGTTGGCTAAATCTTCATACCAAGGTATTTCTCCTGCTATAACAATAAGAAACTCTTCGGGAAAATCATCTCCAATCTTGTTTTCTTCTAATTCTTCCAAGTGCAGGTTCTCTAATCGCAATAAGTGATCAGTCGCTACATTTTCCATTCCTTTTTTGTCTCTAATCTCAATGTCACAGTCTTGTAAAAGTAATAAAAAAACGTATTAATCTTGATTTAGCATCTTGTTTAGTAAAGAGATACTTAAGGGTTGAATGGTCGGTGAATACAGTTGTCATTGATAAGACTAGATATGGGAGGAATTTATCAAAAGCATAAACCACCACGAGTAGCTCCTTCTCGGTAGTAGTATAATTCTCTTGATGTGAGTTAAAGGTTTCACTAGCCTACTAAATAGGTGAAAATATTTGTCAATTCTTTGGCCCAAAATAGCTCCCACCACGTAATCACTAGCATCACACATAAGCTCAAAAGGAAGGCTCTAATTTGGTGCTATCATAATAGGAGTAGTGCTCAACTTCTCCTTTAACATTTGAAATGCTTCATGACATTCCTTTGAAAAGTCGAATAGGGCATCCTTTAAAAGAAATTGAGTCAAAGGCCTTATTCTCTTTGAAAAGTATTTAATGAAACGAAGATAAAATCCCCCATGGCCAAGAAAGCTTCTTACCCCTTTTACATTTGTTGGGGGTGGTAATTTAGCTATCGTTTCAACTTTTTCTCTATCTACCTCTATCCCCAACCATGAAACCTTGTGTCCTAACACAATCACTTTCTTTACCATGAAGTGGCACTTTTCTCAATATAAGACTAGATTTGTCTTCTCAAATCTCGCTAACATTAGATCTAAGTTGTATAAACAATCTTCAAAAGAGGATCCAAAAACCGAGAAGTCATCCATGAAGACTTCCATAAATTTCTCGAGCATGTTGTCGAAGATAGCCATCATGCACCTTTGGAATGTAGTTGGTGCATTGCACAACCCAAAAGGCATGTGGTTGTATGCAAAAGTCCCACTTGGGCATGTAATAGTGGTCTTGTGGGTCAATTGGAATTTGGAAGTACCCCTAGAAACCATCAAGAAAACAATAATATAGATGACTGGAAAGTATTTAGAGCATTTGGTCAATAAATGATAGTGGAAAGTAATCCTTGCATGTAGCATCATTAAGCTTTCTATAGTCGATGAAAATGCGCCACCTGATTACTATTCTTGTTGGGATTAACTTGTTATCTTCCTTGGTAAACACCGTCATTCCTCCTTTCTTCGGTACCATGTGCACCGGACTTACCCATGGGCTATCGGAGATTGAGTAAATGATACTAGCATATAAACGTTTAATGACCTCCTTCTTAACCACTTCTTGCATATTTGGGTTAAGTCCTCTTTGGTGTTGAACTATGGGTTTAGCTCCTTCTTCTAGGTTGATCTTATGAGAACAATATGTTGGACTAATTCCCTTGATATCGGTTATCTTCCATGCCATGGCACCTTGTCTTTTCTTTAGTACTCCCACAAGGCTTTTTTTTTCATGTTTAGCTAGATCAGATACTACAATTACTGGTTTTTGTTGTCCATCCTCCATGAATGCATACTCTAGGTGCTCGGGTTAGGATTTAAGCTCTATTTTTGGATTTTCATCAGTCACGATGTCGTGGGTTTCTTTCCACGTTGTGGTGTTGCAACTTTTAGAATTAGTTCATGAAAAAACATTTGACCATGGTGTGGTGGTTTCACCACGTCGTGTTGCCTCTTCTGCCTCTTTTATTACTTCATTATATTCACTTTCTTCCAGTAGCTTCTCCAATTCTTTCATATCCAGTTCGGCATCAAAATCACCATCTTTAAGCACCATAAATCCCTTGGTTTCCTTTTCCTTCCATCTTCCTAAATCCTTTTCAAATAGTTCATCAAGCACATCAATAGAAAAGGCTGTATCATCACTCGCTCTTGAATGTGGGATTACCCGATTAACCCCAAAAGTGACCGCTTCTTTTCCTACACAGAGGGTGAGTTTGGACTCTCTAATGTCTTCTAAGGCTTAGGCGGTGCTCAAGAAGGGTCTTCCAAAGATGATTGGGCCTTGTTCGTCTTCCTCCATATCTAGTATGATGAAATCCACAGGAAAGATAAACTTGTCCACTTTTACAAGCAAGTCTTCACATATACCCCTTGGGAAGGTCATGGTCTTGTTAGCTAAGTGTATGTTCATGCAGACCGGTCTTGGTTTGGGAAGATCAAGCTTATTGAAAAACGAATAGGGCATTAAATTAATACTAGCTCCCGAATCGGCTAGCACATGACTAGTTGCTAGATTCCCGAATTGGCATGGTAAGGTTATGCTTCCCGGATCACCCATCTTCTTCGGTAACATGTTTAGCATTGCAGCGGAACAAGTTTCATTTAATACCACCTTTTATAGACCCTCTATTTTCTTCCAGTTTGTTAAAATGTCTTTGAGGAACATGGCATATTTTGACATTTCAATTAAAGCCTCAAGGAATGGAATGTTTATTTCAAGAGACTTTATGTGGCTTAAGAACCTCCGATATTCTTCAGCATGCTTCTCTTGAATTTCTTTGTCGGGGAATGGCGATGATGGGCGGTAAGGATTTATGGATTCCTTATTTTTGTTTTCAACTTTTGGCCACGACATGGTATTTTTACCACATC